CAAGGGGAGACAAAATGGGAAAAGTGTATCACATGAGTGAACAGTAATTACAGCAGCAACATACTCTACATGTGAAGGATGTAGTATGAGGTGAAATACACAAGGTGTAACTGTACTGAACAGAAGATTCATTCATGTGGACTGATTTACTGTGGCTCAGCAGACTCCGTTATTTTGCCCATGTTTTCTGTGTCAGTGTAATAGCGGTTTATGTAACTGAGGGAAGGCATGGCCTGAGGCATGACTACTGGTACGCAACCAACTGTGTGTCATATTTAGATAAGAGGTAAACAAAAACGGCTAACATAAGCAACAACACTGGTTTTGTTTTGCCCTCCAACCATAGCAGCCACCTCGAGCTTGTCCGCTCTGTGTCATGTATCGGCTGTGAACACACGGCTCTGTCTTATTGGTCCCATTGACTTACTGCTGCACTGAGGCAATGGGTGCTCGGGGGGAACTTTGTTGTGTGAACGATTGCTGATGTTTGTACATTTGTGTATCCATTATGTCTGTCCATTAGTTTGTAAGCAGGGAGACAGCTTTATTTCACAATGAGCAGCAGTGAGAATCTCTAATAAGAGAAAGAGCAGGGGATCAAAGGGTGCGATGAGTGCTACTTTACTGTGGTTGCTATGCAACACAAAGTTTTCCATCTGCATTCAAGATATGCTGTCAGATGGTTATCCTGATGTAATAAAGTGGATATACTGACACAGAACCGTTGATGATTGATTTACAAGATGAGTCATTGGTTTGTCTCATACTGTAAACTAGTAAATAATTTCTTCCAGTGTGTGAACTACAGGGGAGCCACAGGGGAGCTTGACTCATCTCAATAAGACATAAGTTCAACTAAAAACATGATCATCAAATTGTGGGTGGTCTCTAACATACAGACAGTAGGACATTTTTGCCATGCATTTTTATTTTTCTGTATCTTTATCATCATCATGGAATGTATGTACAACTAGGCTATTATTTATAGTATGATCACTAATTTGCTTCAATAAAGGTAGCAGCATCCACACTGTTCTCAACATGAAAGTGCAGTGACACAGTATTATAACTGCATGCACTTTTACTCTAAGATCATGAAAAAAGAAAAAAAAAAAAACTAGAAGAACAAACCTGACCCTAAATGAAAATGTGAGCTCTCCCAGAAGACATCAGTCAGCTAAAACATGAAAACCGTCTGCCCAATATGTGTATGCGCTGCCAAAACAGCTCTGCGGTTTGTTCAAGCACATCCGATTGCTTGATCTGATTGGAAACTTAGACTGGGAGTCAAGTCAATGCCTTGGGTTCTTTGTCATGTTTCTTGATCCATTCCTTAGCAGTAGATTGTTTTCTCCTGACTAGATCCTTGCTTGTGTTGTATCTGCTCGTCACTTTGGATAAAAGCTAAATGAATTTGTAGAACTGTAGAATTGTAGTAGTGTTTATGGTGTAGCTGGGGGATGCCGCCATCAGCTGGATGTGTTTTTGCCATGAAGTGCTGTGTTTGGTCTACAGCATTATTTGTGTGGGTGGTATGTGTCAAAGCAACATCCACAGAAATGCCAGGATCCAAGGTTTCCCAGCACAACATTCCATTGTAACAAGATGATAAATGCCATTCACTTCACCTGTCAGTGGTTGTAAAGTTGTAGCTCGCACACAGGTTTTGGAGGAAACATAATTTGTATGTGTGTGTGGATTGTTTTCACAGGTGAGCATTTTTTCCAGTTCTTGCACTGCACTCAGGTCCTAGAGAGGAGGTCAGGGTGGATCGGAGTGGATGTACATTGTTCAGAACATTTAATGTAGGGCAGAGTTAATGTCCTGTTTGCTTTCAAAACACTAGACTGAAGAAAGGTCACCAGCTTGGTTCAGTGCAGAAAACATGCTGTTTTGTGTCATTGTAGAAATAATATACATATATTTTTCCTTACCTTTATTATACGCTTTGAGGAAAGCATTATGTTTTGTTCAAAAACTATTTTACGGTAAGTAGATAGGTGCAGTTACAAAACATCAAGCCATTCATGGATTATGCAGCCCAAAGTACTGGGGAACTGAACAATTATTCAATTTTGTATTTACTATAGCGTGTCTACTCATCAAATGTACGCTCAGACCTTACATGCACAGTTGGATAGGAAGTAACTGTGTCAGAAATGAACTACAAGGTTAGTTTATAAGAGAACACAAAAGGTGCACAGGTTGGAGGAGATGTGTGGGCCTCAACATGACATGGCTGCATCCAAACTGATCAGCACACTAAATGTGAATGTGTGCTTCCATCTTGTAAAAATCTGCCTTAACCTATCCCCAGAATAGGTTTATCCTATTCAGGGAATTTTGTGATGAGCCACCTGGTCTCGGTGTCACATCAGTCAGGTGGAATAATTTCCCTGTTAACCAGCCTCAATAAGCCACCTGAACACTACCAGACACAAAATGGAAATTGCAGTATAAGATGCTCAAGCAGATTTAAATTTTGGAATAAAACCTGGCATGCTACAGCCCAAACTGAGAATCTACAGTCGCAGACTAACTGCCAGACATTTCATTTTCAACAAGCACAGCAGTGTGCTCTCAAATTCCAATTATTTCTGGAGTTCAGCTGTCAGAGCAGATTTATTAGTTTTCTCTCTCTTGTTATCAGTAACTGCAAATAAGTAAAGAATAAGATTTAGAACAGAAGCTGAAATATTTAATGTGAGTCTAATATTTCTTTTTTTTAAAAAGATAAACAGAAGTAGAAGAAATTAATAAAATTGAGGTGGAACTGTTGAGCCGGTCTCCAGAGCAGGATTCCATTAGAAGTGCTCCAAATTTGCTCGACTGAAGTGAGGGAACTTTTTTAAAATTCGTGTTACACTGCATTTGGTCTGTTGTTGGAGCCAGTATGTGATACCGTTGTACCTAACTACAGGGACTACAGGTGAAAATTACTTTTCAAAGTCCGTGGGAGGCTCATTTAACTAGTCAGACCCTGTCGAACAAACTGAGAGATCAAATCAGCCACGATGGATGCAACAGTGTTTACCTGTTAGTGTTATTTGCAGAAGCCACATGAATGGATTTAGAAGTTCGAGGTACTTTGTGGTGGGTTTTGGAAACATACAATAGCTTGGCAAGTTATTGCTAAATCACACAGCCTACTCACACTCAAGCAAGTTCACACCAGAAAACTGATTTTGCAGTGACTTAATTAGAAAACCCTAACCTGTCACAAAAAGCAGAAATATAGACATTTATTTGACATTACATTTACATTAGTGTTGCAAAGTTGTAGGAGTTAGTAGGATAATGAGGTTTAGATGGATGTGTGCTTGTGTGCATTGGCAGGTGTGTCAGCCCTCACAGTCAGATCTAATAGTTGCTGCTTGTTTGCTCTCCTCAGGTGCAGCCAGGCTCATCTGCTTTGTCCAACGCTGGATTATTTGGTTTCAGCACCTGTCAGACAACAGCAAGCATAAAACTAAACCCCAGGCCTCAAATAGTCCCTTGATGAATCTGTGGGTGATGTTACAGACACTGTGTCTATGTTTTTCTACAGTCTGTGTGCTCATAACATCCCGATTGCGTCAGCTGTCTGAGCCTGTACAGAATTAGAGCGTCCCGTTAAGATCTCACCAGCTCTGGCTGTCAGTACAAAGGCAGTCACAGCAAAACATCTCCCTCATAATTGAGCCTCTGCCAGATAAGCAAGAGTTGATCTCTGAGCATGAAACCAGGCATTTTACTAATTTGAGTGGCTGCACTGGAACAGAGTTCAAAGCGTAGCTGTGATTTGCGGATGCTTCCTCATGAGAGAGGAGGCCAGCTCTGTTGGCAGTACGACGAGCCACCGATTGCTCGCTCCACTCTCCATGGACCTCCCAGATGGAGATGGAGAGTATTACTGGACAACAGCCTTCTGAAAGTACATGAAGATTACTGAGCTGAGCACAATGAGGCAGACCACACAAACAGCATTAATCACCTCCTAGGTAGCAGGATAAACCGCAAGTGGGAGAGAAGAGCGCATCAGCAGACTCCATTTGTTCTTTGTCTCCGGATCTAAATTGGTATTATAAATTGCGGCGTGTTTATAGTTTCTAAAATTATCACTAGATGTGTCTGCAAGAATGTAGCCAGGTATCTGCAGACATCCCACATGGTACATGTCATTATATATCCTTATGTGTGAAATCAACCTAACATTTTTTTTAATGAACATGCCATAAATTACCACTTTAATTTATTTTGCTCAAGACAGCTTATAAAATATGAGTTTCTGTAAGGTGTAGAAAGGTTCAGCCATATCAGAGCAACACAGCAGAAGTCCTATGCATATCGTTTGGTTGTAGAAGGTTGGTGACATGGGGACTGTGTTTTAATCATCAGTGGACTACATGCAGAAATAGTTGGTGAACTGCTGTAAGACATAAATTCCCAACGTTGTAAAGACTTATGTGCAGCCGGCTCCTTTTCTCTGTTCCTTCAAAGGTTAAACATCGTCAAGACGACAACAGCGCAGATGTGCATGTCAGAATTCCCTGAAGTCGAGCAGTTTTTGCAGATTTACAACCGACCTTCAAGTGAGTCCACTGATCAATGCAAGTTCATTAAACTAAACTGATTTCACCTTGAAATTTCTGCAATTTTCATGCTGCCGTGGCAGGACCTTGAGAGACAGAATTGTTGGTGTGTGCTGGTATGGTGCCTATTTAAATTTCCTGGCAGTGCGGAGCCACATTTTGTGCACCATGGGGAGCCCTTTTGCCTTTTGTGTGTGACCCTCAGTGGGCTAATCCTTAATACAGCAAAGGTGTCCAGCTATAGCTCTGTAGATCTGAGCTTTGTGATGTTCGGAGTTCCTCTAATTGACCACCTGTGACTGCCAAGTCGAAGCTTTGGGAGCCTGTTGGCTTGAGCCCAAGTCAGCTGGCCTGCATACCTGTATGTTTGAGCGATGCAAATGTGGCTAACTGCTGATGAATTTTTTTTTGTCTTGTTTCTTTTTCCAGAATGCAGGAGAGGGACCTACAGAGCATGTACAGAAGGGCGCTGCTGCTGACCGTCTGTATGGTGTCTCTCTTGGGACAGCTGACCAGTGCATCATCACACAGAAGCCACATAGGTACACTGCATGTGCTTCCCATTGTTATTTTTTCAGGGATCGATAGCTGAACACGGTGCTCTCTTTCATAAAGCATTTTTTCATTCACAATATACGGAAAGACACATTCTCACCAGGACGCATTGTTCTGGGCAGGATGCCCAGAAAAACCAAAGTCTCCAGTGGAAAAGCTAAGGAAGAGTACAGATGTACAGTAACTGTATTTATGTAACTTTTCCCTATTACTGTTATTATCCATGATAGCCTTCAAAGACTGATCTTTTGACAGAAAACATTTTTAAATCTACGTTTCAAACTAATGAGAGCTTTTCACTTCCAAGAGGGCAGGAGTGTACAAATCAGCAGCATCAGTCTGTGGCAAATACACCAGCAGGATAGATATTTCATGGCAATTAATGGCAGGGAGAACAAAAACACACAGTCTCACAACACTGGCATTATCCCAGAAGAGTTTGCTTGAACAGAATTTAATGATTATTGAGGGAAGACGGAGCATTAGTCACTGAATTCCCCTGCAAATCAACTTTTAGAAAAAAGTTTTTATTGAAGCAAACCAGAAAAGATACAGCATTTTAAATGCCTGGAAACAGAATCATAGCCTTTCTGAACCTCCTCTACAAACCCTCACAGTGAGATGCATCCCAACACATACAATGATATCACTTTATCAGCAAATTGTACCATGTGATGTGGAGGGGGATGTGGAACGATTACAGCTGAGTTCTCTCACTGACTGCATTCTGAATACATTCGTGCAGCAGTCTCAGTACATTGGTTCCTTGTGGTGCAGGTCAGTCACATGTACCGGACACATTTCACCTGACTGACTTTGTATCATGAAGCTGATATAATTAGCTCAACTTTCTTGATTTCTGTGCTGAACAGCGAGGCAAAGATCTACTGTGAGGTCTGCATTTTGTGCACATGAGAATTCAACAGTTTAGCAGTCATGCAATTCAACCATCAAATATAAAGAAGTAATACCAGTACACTAAGTGTGTGGAAGCATCTCTGTGTGTGCGTGTTTGAAGCAGGGGACAAGACCTTTCAAAGCGATTTTCTTTAATGGAGAGATGGCCTGATCCCTGGGCGTAACGGTAGAAACTGTGACTACACATTGAAATAATGAGCCTTATTCCACTGGAGGACAAACAGCACACAATGGCTGGAGGGAAGCAGTTCTACGTTAGCTGAAAACAAAAACACGACAAGCAAAAACACTTTGATTGGGCCGTGACAGGACATGGGAACAGCCAATACATTGTATGAAAAGGATACAAATTGCATTCGCTTAGTCTGGATGTGTTTCTAATCAGATCAAAAATGGAGGATAAAAAAGTTGCGACAGCAGTTAACTGTCTGTCAGCCTAGTTTTTGACTTTGCCAAGTACTGAACAATTTTACAGTTTAGAAGATTCTGTTCAGGTTCACATGTAGAGATTTCAGAACGCAGGAAGCTGTTGAACCCTTTATTTTATTTTAGGGTAATCGGTTCTTCCCTCATGTGAAGTTTACTTTGCGGTCGCATGATTGGGGGTCTGTTTTAAATCTACTATTGGCATACTGATTGTGACCATACGTAGTAAGTGGTATGCAACAAACTTGGACATTTCCAGTTAGCCAAAGATATCTTGATGACCGACACATCCTCCCACCTAAACAACAGAAAAAGTAATTCTCAAAATAACATACACAAGTGTTTGCAAATGAGGTAGCAAAGAGCGATAAAATCTGCATTTGGAAGTGAGCATGGTGGTGGTGTAAGTCAATCACAGGGCTGTTACCCAGGAGAGTGTGATTCATGTCTCATGTGGACCATTTATTTATCTTATTAACTATTATTAGTTTTGTTTTCAGTTGCTGTTTAGAGTTATGCAATCAGATTACTTGGTTAGTTTTTGGGAAAAATCATGGTTTGGGTTAAAATTGATCTTTTCATATCTGCAACAATGTCTCCTGTGATGAGTTTTGCACCATGTAAAATGAGTGACAGTGATACCACTACCCACTCAAATTTTTAGAGGGTGTACATACACTTTGTATCATCACAGGAGGTTAGATATCTTAATTTTAACTCAGTTAAACATGTATGTATATATATAATCTATTTAAAAATCTATGAAGGGTAGGAAGGTAAGAAGATTAAATAAATAAAGGAGCATTAAAAATACCATTCTGGGGTAAAAAAAAACCCCAAAAAACAGTAAAAGCAATATCCATCCATCCATCCATCCATTTTCTATATATCGCTTAATCCTCACTGGGGTCGTGGGGGGCTGGAGTCTATCCCAGCTGACTTAAGGCGAAGGCAGGGGACACCCTGGACAGGTCACCAGTCTATCACAGGGCTACACTTAGAGACAGACAGTCAAGCACACTCACATTCACACCTATGGACAATTTAGAATCACCAATTAACCTCAACATGTTTTTGGATTGTGGAAGGAAGCCAGAGAACCCGGAGAGAACCCAAGCTGCACAGGGAGAACACACAAACTCCATGCAGAAAGATTCCAGGCATCCTAACCAGGACGCAAACTGGGGATCTTCTTGCTGCGAGGCGACGGTGTTAATCACCGGGCTACTATGCAGCCCCAGTAAAAACAATATAGTAAATAAAATGAAAGACAGTTTAAGAAATTAAAACATATGTAAAATCGGGAAAGGCTCTATGGTAAAACCATGTTTTAAGAAGGGTATTAAAAAACATTCCTGACCTATCCTCTGGCAGATCTGACTGCAAATGTTCTGTTCCCTTTGGTTTTCAGTCAGGCCCCTTAAACAGGCAAAAGACCGCTGCCTGAGGATCTCAAGAGCCTTAGTACCTATATTTCTGACCTTATGTTGGCACATAAGGTACTAAAAGGCCGGAAATATAGCTTTGACAAGGGTCACGAAGGGCTTTAAAAGTAACCAGTAAAATCCCAATATCTATCCTAAAACATACTGGAAGCCAGTGTACAGAGGCTTAAACGAGAGTGATATGATCATATCTCTTCATTTTGGTTAAAAGCCTGGCAGCTTAGTGCTGCCCAACCTGGAGTCTATGAATTGATTTTTTGGTTCAAGCAGGTCAAAAGACTGTTACAGTAATCTAAGAGTGAGGAGACAATAGTGTGCAAAATGGTCTCCGTGTCTTTAAAACATAAAATTGATTGCATTTTTGATTTCTAAGGTGACAAAAACAAGATTGCATTTTGGGGGTTGTGTTGTGTAAAACTTTAGGCGCTGTCAAACCAGACACCGTTTCTTTAACAAGTTTAATGTGGCCCACAAGGGGGCCAGCTGAAAACAAGCTTGCCTTGCCCAGTGATGAGACCCAATGGCAAGGATGTCAGTTTTGTCAGAGTTTAACTGCAGAAATTTTTTTGACATCACATAGGATGTTGTTAAGAGAGCTCAGCATGTCAGGGTCAGATGTATTGTGATATTCCACAAGGCATTACAGTTATTTCCCTGCACAGGACAGAACAACTGCAAATTTAAGTACGTAAAATTTCTTCAGTATGATTTCCTATGATTTACATTTTTACACAAACTCTGATTTACTTCATAAAAAATGACCACGCTTCTTTCCAGGTTTTTGTTTGAAGCAGGCTTGACCTCAAGTGATGCCTTCATGTATATTTCTCCTTGTTTAATAAGTATAATTAGTTGTATTTAGTATGGAGCCTTGCTTAGGCCTGAAATTACTGCTTTTCTGTTTGTACAAGCTGAACACTTAATGTAACTTTTTCAAATGAATAATGCATTTTTAGTGGATTGAAACCCTTCTTTTCTGCGACTTACATTGTGAAGTTTGCACTGCAGTTATTCATCTGTATTTGGGGGCCAGCCTTTATTTGTTTGTGTCAACCACGCCCCCAGCTATCATCGGCGACCCAGTATTTAACAGTTATTTCTAAATTCCTTCAGTTTGAAATGTTGAAATGAGCTATTAAGCTAGCCAGGCAGCAATTGTGTCAGCTGCCAGGTGTTTGTTTCCATGGTGATCTGATAAACCTGGTGGTCATGTGACTATGTTAACTACTGTAACGCATTGTGCTAAGGAAGTAGCATGTACAGAACACATGTAGAGTATGGAGCAATTTTCAACACATTCTGGCTCTTCTTGGCAAATATATTTAGGTTTTGTTCCAAGTGACGTGTGTAGATATATTTTTTTTAATTAAATGAAGAAACAGTTTGTGTACCAAATAATACACAGTACAATAAATACTGTTTACAGTTAGTACATAGTATAAAATTGCACCCATCAACAGTAAGCTCAAAAATGAAACACCATCAGTATAAACACCGACATCTTTGTGTTTACCGTATAGATGAGCTTTATCAATTTTCCAATGTGAACACAGAACATTCAAAGCCCTGTTACAATAAATGTGCAATGATAGATGTGGGCTACAGTGTGCATATTATGCTTAGCAGTGAAATGCAGGTTCTCTGACCCTTTTTCCTCAAGAAAAGAATCCTGAAACTAAAAATACAATGCAGAATATATATATGATAAAATACAGCCAAAAGGAAGCGTGCTAGACTCTCCACATACTTTTGTGCACTTTTGCCAGAGGGCTCTTTTTAAATGTTTAGATCAAAGACTTTTTGTAACTGTTGAGAGAAATTTTACACAGTGATATTTTTAGTGTGTTTCTGGGTTTGTGGCTGCAGCGTAGGACAGGCCTTTTTCTGTTTAAACATGACCACTCACAAACCCAGGTCCACAGAGAAATGTTGCATTCAGAGTTTGGTGTTTAACACTTGACTGGTCTGCACAGAGGTCTGACATCTCCCCATCCAGCACCTTTGACATGAACCAGTATGCTGACTGCAAGCAGGCTTCATTATTTACCATCAGTGATAAACTCAATGCTGCATGGCTGAAAGAAAGAAAATCCCTGTAGCAGCAGCAGCAGGTTGTTATAGCAACATGTGACCTTTTTTGTCAATTACATACATGCATGCTAATACATACTTTTGGCCATGTTTTAGAGTAACTTTTT